GGGCCCGCGCTGCTCCTCTCCCGGCTCCGCGCCGCGCTTCCGACTCCCAGGCCGCCCCGCGCGCCCGCTAGCGCCCAGCCACGTGCGTACGACAGGGGCCCAACCAAACTACAGCGGAGGGGCTCCCGCGCTGTGGTTCCTCGTGTCGAGCAGAGAGGAACGCAGTTACCCGAGAAAGTGTTCAAAAACTAGAGTAGCGCGGCGTCCGTGACGACAACGTGCTCGATCCCAAGCAACACGGCTGCATCCAGCAGTCCTCACACTCGCCGAAATCCACAACCATCCCATTCGTGAGAGCGGATGGTTTCGTCCAAAATGGCAGCCGTTCCCTTCCTTCTCCCATCCGGCGCTGCGGGGGGAAGATTGAACAATTTGAGGCGCCGAAGGCAGAATCGGGAAATCACTTTAATATGCAGAGTTGCACGAAAATATGATGTAACTCGAAAATCAGTACCACAGAAAACTTTAGGCTTAACAAACGATTCTCCTTGTGCTAGTTTCGTCTTTGGACAGGCAAATTGTTAAGCTTACATGACTCAAACCCCCTCTCGTGTCTGTGTTTTAGACTCGTCCACTGACGGGGGCAAAAGAACGGACGATTCCAAAATACACGAAGAATTCGCGGGAAACCACGGAAGGCCACAACTACTAAGACGACTTCTGTCTGGCGCGATACAAAAACGTATGACAGTGGCGGTAGTCATTTACGCCCTCCCCTGCCCCCGCGGCCGTAGCTGGACCTTCCCCGGGTTCTGACTAGCACTATGGTTCAGTCCGCGGGAGACCGCCGCCCTCGCACGCAAGCGAGCGCCGTCACGTGGTGGGCGTGGCCGGTCCCTTTGGCCGCGCAAGGCCAGGCAGATACCTTGGAGTGTGGTTGGTACCTCCACAGGTTGTTAGGTGTTTGCATCTGTATCTTTTTAGCTAGGCTGGAGGGCACTTGCTTGTTGTGTAATGTGTTTATCCTTTAAAAGGACCAGGCGGCTGCCCAGGGTTGGTTGGGAATAGTTGGTACTTATGGGGCACCGAGTTTCTGCCTAGGAAGATGTGAGTTTGGAGGAGGCCCAGGGGTTGATCCGCACCGCAATGAACGTGCCTCACGGCTCCGCACGTTTGAGAGTGGTTAGAACGGAGGTGGACTGGATGTGGTGGTGCATGCCTGTCATACAAGCTGCTGGGGAGACTTAGGCTGGAACATAAATTCTAACTGAACCTCAGCCACTTAGGGAGACCTTGTCTCAAAAATAAGAAGGCCTGGGGATGTAGCACAGTGGTAGAGAGCCCCTGGGTTTATCCCCGGCACCAAAAATAATAAAAATGAATACTGATGAATCCATACCAAATTTTATTCTTCCGATTCAGCCAGTATTCTTTGGGAAGGAAGCCTGTCTATGTGTCAAGTAAAGGGAAGGGAAGAGCTTCCCTTTGCCCTGTGAGGTTCCATGATTGAATCTATGAAACCACTTGACTGGCAGGTACAGAGGAAGAAATGTAGATAGGCTTATGATGGGCATTACACGAAGAAGAGTGAATATGCAAACAAACAGTAAGGTCTAGGAGCTTATGTGCTCTCTTCTAGGGAGACAACTCAGGAGAGAGAATGATGTGGGGCAAAGACTAATGGACCTTAGAAAAATGAGGGATGTTTCATGACAAAATTTGCATGGGTTTAGAGTTCTCTTCCTCCCCTTCTGTGATGCTTAATCTTCCCAGGGTTGATGAAACTCCCTGGAGGGCATTAGTGCCCATCCAATTCTTCTATTCTGAAACAGGAAGGAAGTTTTGGAACCAGAAGACCAGCATTTGTTGTCTTTAACTTGTCTTCATCTCAAAGTGACCAGGAGGCCAAAGAAGCATATTTGGGGTCACATTTCTTGGACTTCTCTGAGTTAGGGTGTTTGCGGGCCAGAGCTGCCACTCTGGTCCGGGAGACAGAGAGTAAACAGGTAAATGTGATAACTACTTCAGTAGGACAGTTGATGAGATACAGACTGTTTCTGTAATACCTGAAAGTCATGGAGGTAGCACTGATATCAGAGAGGCTTCTCTCAGAAGCACATTCCAGCTGAGAGTGAAATGCTAAGGAAAAACCAGAAAAGGGATGGTTGGCTTAAGAAGGGTGTCACAGAGCTGGAGCAGGCTTTCTACAAGGGGAATGGGAAGTGCAAAGGTCCTGAGGCCATAGGAGAGGAATATGATAAAGAAAAAAGACCTTTCTTGGGGCACAAAGAGGGAAAGGGGTAGTGGAGACTGACCTCTCAGAGGGGTGGGACCAGAAACCCTAGGTCCTTGCAGAAGTGAGGTTTGCTTTCAGTGAAAGTATTAGGGAAGAGTTGTTTTTCTACAGTTTTTAATTTTTTTAAAAAAATTTTTTAGTTGTAGTCTGACACAATACCTTTATTTTATTTATTTATTTTTTTAATGTGGTGCTGCGGATCGAACCCAGGGTCTTGCACGTGCGAGGCGAGTGCTCTGCCGCTGAGCCACAATCCCAGCCCAAGTTTTTGAATTTTTTTACAACAAGCATCAGTTCCTTTCAGAATCATCAAAAGCAAATTAAAAAATGGAAAATGAACACAAGTCAAGAGAAATGCTTTTCCATACCTTTCTAGCTACTATTTTATTTCCTGACCTCTGTCATGGGACCTCAGAACTTTTTTGAGAAGTCTGGCAGGTAGGCCATAGGGCTGCTGGAGCGGCCCCTTCTAGATCTGATTTCTGGAGCAGGCTTCTCCCAAAAAAGTAGACTCAACAAGGGGATCTGTGGTTAGTCTCAGGCAGCTGCTGCTCTACACTTGGGTCCTTGCTCAAGTTGCCTTGTACTCCAGAGCAGCAGGGCCCTGGCATTGAAAGTCTGTGACATTAGCAGTCCTGGCAGAACTAAGGTGTGCAGTGTTTGAAATAGCTGAGCGCCACAAGGAATCAAACCCTTGCTCAGAAGTAGCTTGGCAAGGCAAACTTGACTTCTGCAGAAGGGGATGTGACCAAACAAAGTCTGGCAAGCAAGCACACTTGGGTGGACATTCTGCCTGTTTTATCAAGGGAAGGACTATAGCTTAAATGACTACAATTGTATCTTATATCCCAAGTAAAGCTAAATATTATATTTTGAAAATGGACTACCCTGGGGCTGGAGCTGTAGTTCAATGGTAGAGCACTTGGCTTACATGTGTGGTGCACTGGGTTTGATCCTCAGCACCATATTTTAAAAAATTAAAGATATTGTGTCCATCTATAACTGAAAAAATATTTTTAAAAAAGAAAAAGGACTACCAGACGATGTCTCATAGTGTTGGGGCCCTCTGCAGTGTGATTAATTCTTATATTCATGTCCCTAGTTTCTTTTTTTTTTTTTAAAGAATTCTTTTTTAAAAAAAGGTAGGCTTTTTAAAATATTTTATATTATTTTATTTTTTTAGTTTTCAGCGGACACAACATCTTTGTTTGTATGTGGTGCTGAGAATCGAACCCCGGGCCGCACGCATGCCAGGCAAGCGCACTACCGCTTGAGCCACATCCCCAGCCCCCTAGTTTCTTAAAACCAATAAGAGTTGAGTGCAACTTTTGAATGAACTGTCCAAAGACACAGCTTGTTTATCCCCTGCAGTGTGACAGTGACCTGCTGTCTTTGCAACATTGCCATAAACCTCAAAGTAACAAGTTTGTTGAAGACACTATTGAAGCCAAACAAGGTGGCACACACCTGTAATCCCAGCAGCTCAGAAGGCTGAGGCAGGAGGATCTCAAGTTCAAATCCAGCTTTAGCAATTTAGGGAGGTCCTAAGCAACTTAGGAAGACCCTGTCTCAATAAAGGGGGGGTGGGGGGCTGGGGATGTGGCTCTCAGAGGTTAAGTGCTCCTGGGTTCAATCCCCTATACAAAAAAAAAAAAATGTATTATTGATTTAGACATGATGGCCGTGCCTATAATCCCAGTGACTGGGGATGCTGAGGCAGAAGGATCATGAGTTCAAGGACAGCCTGACCAGTTTATTTTTATCAAAATAAAAAATGAAAGGAACTGGTGGTAAAACACCCCTGGGCTTAATTCCCAGTGAACCCTCTTACCAAAAAGAAAAAAAAAACAAAACATTTGTGCACCAATTTTCAGAGTTGCACTGTTCACATAGTCAGAAAGGGGAACAATGCAGGTGTCCATAGAGAGATGAGTGACTACACAAAATGTGGAATTTGCATACAAGGTAATATTATTCAGCCTTAAAAGGGAAGGGAATTCTGCCTACATAGTGGTGCTTTATCCCAGTGAGTGGAGAGGTTGAGGTAGGAGGATTGCATATTTGAGGCTAGCTTGGACAATCAAGACCCCATCCCCCAAAATAAAAACAGCTGGGGATATAGGTCAGTGGAAGAGTGCTTGCCTAGCATATGTGAGGCCCTGGGTTCAACTATCAGTATCCTCCCCACACACACACACATAAACTGACACATGCCAAATACACACACATATGTATATATATATGACCTTTGAAGATGCATACTCAAATAATCCAGTCACAAAAAGACAAGTACTGGGGCTGGGATTGTGGCTCAGCAGTAGAGCACTCGCCTAGCACAGGCGAGACCCAGGTTCGATTTTCAGCACCACATTAAAAAAAAAAAAAAGACATTGTATTGTGTCCATCTACAAAAAAAATTCTGAAAAAATGTATATTTTTTTTAAAGATAGAGAATTTTAATATTTTTTTTTAGTTCTCGGCG